CGTCTCTGATGATCAGCTAAAACACATATAATTAACAGCCAGATCATCATCAGCCTCCTGGGTTGAAATCCCTATTTTTCACATCTGTCTCTGGAGGAATAAATCTAAGAACTACCATAATGGGTATAAGATGGATACAATGGTACATCAGCCCTTTTCTTCTTTTAGCAATTTCTGCTACCCTTTCAAAGTTCAGACTCTCCACTTATTTGTCTTTGCATTTTTACGGAAAGCTATTCCAGACTCAAGATTTTATCAAAGTATTGAAATGCTGCAAATGGCAAAGAACAAACAGTACAGAATGGAGAATATTTCATTTGGCAAAAACATAGCTTTGCGGCAGCTCCTTAGAGGCACAATTTCGCTAAAATCTAGGTTGGCCCCTCACCGGCTTCCAAACGATGATCTATCTCCCTTGTGAATATGCTTATGAGAATCACAATGGACGATCAACTTGCAACCAAAACTTTGCAATGATTGTAAGAGGCAAGACAATTCTGCCCTACAGATAATCCTCAGTTTATGACCATAATTGGAAAGGGCGCTTCTATCTCTAAGTGATGAACTCGTTTAGTGAGTTGTGATTGACTTTGCACTATTTTTGCCTCAGTTGTTAAGCAAATCACCAAAGTTCTTAAGCAAATCAAATGGTCGTTAAGCAAATCTGCCTTCTTCCTTTTCCCCTGGGAAGCTTGCAAATGAGGATCACGGGACTTTGAGTCTCTGTGACCTGCTGTAAATATAGGCCAGTTGCCAAGAACCCAACTTTTAATCATGTGACTATGGGGATGCTATGACGGTCTGTATCGTAACTTACGACTTAATCGTAAATCCCTTTTTTAAATGATGTTGTAAGTTTGAACAGTCATTAAATGAATGGTCATAGCTCGGGGACTACCTATATAGCTCAGAAGCAAACACTGTTCACAAGGGCAATGCTGATGCTCCTTATTCTCTGCCCAAAACCCAAAAGGCATCTGATGTCAAAGCCAACAAATTAAGAGTTGATGCTTCTTGGAAGCACCTGGAATCCTGATGTCTGGCCTGGAAGCCATCTTTTTTTACCTTTTGGATTTCATGCCCCCCTCATTTNCCCTGAGTCCCCCCAGGGAAAAGGGCGGCATATAAATAAATAAACTAAACTAAACTAAACTAAAACACTCTTTGGATGCTTAGTAAGTTCTTGGCTCAAGAAGGCTGCACAATAGCTAGATCTCAATGGGTGGGGCAAGTCAAGCAAGCAAGACTATCCCACTCCCACGAATCTGGAGGAAGGAGAAGGAGGAGAATCTGGAGGAGCCACTTACCAGTTATATTTACGAATTCATCACTGCTGTGGTCCAGCCGGAGATTTTCTTTCTCCAGTAGTGGACACTTCTCCCCTGTAAGAGAATGATTAATGGGAACAATTCATCAATGGAACTTTGCCTCCTGGAATTCATTCATTCATTCATTCATTCATTCATTCATTCATTCATTCATTCATTCATTCATTTTTCAACAAGTACAAGGAAACAAGTATGAAACACATGAAAAAATGGCACAAATAAATGGATGTAAATATGCAAAAGATAGCCATAAACACATAAAAAGAGTACATATAAATGGGGACAGTAGGACAGGGAGGGTAGGTACACTGGTGCGCTTATGCATGCCCCCTTAGGGACCTCTTAAGAAATACGTAAGGTCCACGGTAGACAACTTAAGGTAAAAGGTACGAGGGTTAGAGGAACTAACAACAGGTTCAGGTAGGGTCTTCCACACATTTACTACTCTATTGCTGACATCGTTTTTCCTGCAATCAAGATTAGAGTGGATTACATTCAGTTTGCATCTATTGATGGCCCTGTGTTATTGCAGTTGAAGTAAAAGTAATCATTAACAGGTAGGATGTTATTGCAGATTATCTTGTGCACTAAGCTCAGGTCAGAACATAGATTGCGTAGCTCAAGGTTAACCTAGCCCTAAAATTTCAAGCCTGATGGTATAAGGAATTTTATTATGAGCAGAGGAGTTGAGTTCTCTTCTTGTTAAATACATCTGGACCTTCTTTAATGTTTTAATGTCCGAAATGCAGTGTGGGTTCAAGGCAGGTGAGCAGTATTCAAGGATAGGTCTGGCAAAGGTTTTGTATGCCCTAGTCAGCAGCATAGCATTACTAGAGAGAAAACTACGTAAAATAAGGTTGACAATTCTGAATGCCTTTTTGGCAATGTTGTTACAGTGAGCTCTGGGGCGTAGATCTTTCAAAATGAGTACTCCTAGGTCAAATTGTGGGGGCTGCATCACTGGAGGTTTTCAAAAATAGAATAAACAACTTGACCACTTGTTCAGGAGGTATAAGGAGTCCTGCCTTGGGCACAGAGTTGGAGATCTCCAAGGTCTCTTCCAGCCCTACGATTGGATGATTGAATGATATGACATGTTCTAACAAACACCATGGAGCATTGACATTAATTAATATGCGAGTTAACTGCCCCAGATATCATCGTACAGCTTGGTTTCAAGTGTACAAAGAGACACAGGATTCAGTAAGGAATGAAGACAGGACTTCACTACACAACTGGAAGGGGTGGGGAAAGGTTGCTCAAGCAACTTTGGGATTTTTTTCCCTGGCAGGGAGGTTAACTCCAACTCAAAGGCCAGGCCTGCCTTGCCAGGACCATTCT